TGCAAACTTCACATAAACCATCTAATAAATAGTCCGAACAAAGCCTAAACATTTGGTTTGGCTAGGTGAGTCCGTTCTTGAGTTATAAAATTACAACGAAAAGTGGCATTCATTTTTATATATATAGATGATCAAATGAATATTTTGGCATATTGTCATATGTTGACATGTCAGTTATCGACATCGGACGTGTTTTGATGTGCTGGTATTTTACAATTTTGACAATGTCCTGGTATTTTACAATTTTGACAATTCTGTGGTTGTCAGCGACATCTAGAAAAACGGAAAAGAGTTATTATGTGGTTTATAACTGGCAATGAGAGATTGCAGGGCCTGGTGCCAAACACCTGCCAAAAACTTGGCTTCCACAGAATACATATCCTCACGGATAGAAGGCAAACTGCCTAATAAAATTTTGGGGAACAATGCGCCGTCACGGCGCTGTGGATGCGATCCGAACTATTTATAATATAGGTTTCTGTAATCAAATAAACTGTCAAAATAGTTCACCCAATGTCAATTTTTTCAATATTATTTTTCCCAATGATTTTTCCTCTTTATAGTCGAATTCGATTCGATGGCTTCTACTTCCGAGTAGAGCAAAAACGGCCAAAACTTCTTGTGTTTGTGTCCCGAGTGTGGCTAAATTCACCAAAATGTTGCACCGCCGCGGATGCGGTGATTACGATTCACTAATGCCAATGCCCAGTAGTTTGCAAATCCTGTTCAACTTTAAGACTGCTTTTTGTACTTATTCCGCCACGGTACCTACACCAGCTGAATTTAGCCACTCGCGGGTTTTGTGTAAAATCTGATTTTTTTTTGAATTCAATAAACATTTTTCTGGATTTAAAATGCACACCAACACTGAGACAAATTCTCATTCAGAATTATTTTGACATATTTTTTTGACACATAGGTAACAGGTAAACGAGGTAAATTAAATCTCATTGGGTAAACTGCAAAAGTAAACAGTGACCTGTATATTTTCTGATGGCCTTCATTCCGCACCTGTAATTGTGTTTTACTCCAGCGTCCCCTAGCGGATGCGATCCGAAGCTTTTTTTTTAGGCCCCGCCCTCCATTGGGTTTTTTTTTCTATCCGTGAGGATATGTGTTATGTATTGGCTTCACTTTAGTTTCATAAGCAGAATGGCGCGTTCCTACTCCTTATGTCCGTAGGACAGCGCTTACCTACTCTACAGCAGCGCTTTTTTACTTTTGTCTTCGTCATCGACGTCAAATGTCTGTCACTCGGTGCCGCGCCACTTAGGGTCGGTTTCAATAGCGATTTGCCTCTGGGTTGGTTTTAACTCCAGGGACCAAGTTCGTTTTTGTCATCTTTTTCGTCGATTTGCTCCGAAATTTTGACAGGCATGTGATTTGTAAATTGAAACTATCTTATCCAGTCACGTGCCTGTCAAAAATTCGAAGCAAATTGACGAAAAAGATGACAAAAACCAATTCGGCCAGGGTAATAGTGTCTTAGGGCCGGTTTCTCAATAGCAGGACACCCTCGGGTTAAATAAGGGGTTAAACATAACTCCAAGGTAAACAAAGCAACTGGACACGCTGACCCTGGAGTTGAAATAATTAACCCGGAGGTGACTCGCTATCGAGAAACCTGCACTTACGTGTCCAGTTTCAATGTAGTTATGCTTAACATGGGGGTGACTTGCTATTGAGAAACCGGCCCTTAGGGCCGAATTTATAGTTGCTCCTTTAGGTTTCCTCAGACTCCTCAGGCCTTGAACGTTTAGAATTGATATATGACTAACTTGTCACATAGTAGCAAGTCTTCACTCTTAACTCACGACCTTCAAGGAAGACCCGGCCAAGGAACAACTAAAAATTCGGCACTTACCTACCACACATTTAACAACTAGGGATGCGCATCCAACTGATTACATCGATGATTCGGTATCGATAAAACATCGAAAGCTGATATCGATGTTAAGAAAATATTGATAGAAAAACATCGATGTTTTCTCAACATCGATTTTGGAAGGTAATAATTTGGGCCTGACGCCCCCAAAAAAATGTCGGGGAGCCTGCGGCAAGCTGCCTCCCTAACAACATAAGACTTTCCTGGAATATCCTGCTTTGGTGCTGCGAATGTTTGAATACCCAGTATATTGACAGTAAGTTCCTGGAATATATCAATTAGAATATTACTGGAATATCTGGATTGTATATTCAAAGAACATTCCCTTAATATCCTGTCTCGTGTCATTTTTTTTTTTTTTTCAAATTTTTCATACAAAATACAAAATTTATCATTTGTATATCTACGTATCTGCTTATCATAACAGGGATCCATTGAATAAAAAAAAAAAAGTCGTTGGGATTTGAACCACCAACCCCAAAAAAAATTCTTCATAGAGCTGCTGCATAACACAATCCTCCAAATTGATCTAATTTTAAAATAGTGTAAAGTGATATTTTTCATAGAAGCGTCAAACCTAACTCAAACCTCAACTCAAACCAAACTCAAAAATATATGACTGAAAACAGTTTCTCGCTGTTCGTTGGTTTTTCACTTTGATTTTGCATTCTTATCGTTTGATTCGTTTGCCAAAAATCAGGAATTTAGAAATTGGGCACTTTAAAAAAACGTTTTAATTGCTGACGTTGCCAGATTTCCTTGACCTAATTTCAAATTTTAAATAATGTTTGTGGTGACTGGTATCTCGATTGCCGCAAGCTAAAGAGTAGTTTTGACATTTATTTTCTTTATGTTTATTATACCTATAATAATTTTATTTATTTTCTGACTCTTTTCATTTGTTTATCGGCAAGCGTATTCGGAAATGCCGGTCCAATCAACCCGATCAGCAGGTGTCTTTTTTTTATCTTTCTTCAATGAACACAATTGAAAAAAGATAAATTACATTAGCTTGTATTCGGGTTAGATCTTCAAAAGTTTCCGAAAAGCCCTCCATGTTATGAACACAAGTGGCGTGGGTGGCATGGCGTCGTTTTTGGCGCTTTGGCTTGGTTTCGCCCATTTTGTGAATTTTGTGCTTGTTTGGGTTTTTGTGGATAGAAAAAAGGTAAGTTTTTTTTTGTGTTTGAGATTTTGGATACTGCTCCTATGATTACTAACCTAGATATTACCATGCCTGGATTAAGGCTCTTTGGGGGGTGGCTGAAGCCCCGGGCCCCGAGTTATAGTAGGCCCCCCCCAGAAGCCCTGCTTTTGAGAAATGCACCTTGACGCTTGAGGCCTATGCTTTCTTGAGGCTAATTTATAATGAGCCCCTTAAAACTTTAATAGCTCCGGCCTCCATGAAACCTTAATCCGGCCATGGAAATTGATACAATCGGGTTATAATATTGGTAATAATCTGTGGTAATAATAATAATTAATACCTCATATCCTGTTCACAATCCGATGTCCACAGGTGCAGGTCAATTTATCACCTTTCCCTGAGCCTTTCCCTATCAAATAGCATTGAAAGGTGATAAATAAAAACCTGTACCTGTGGACATCGGATTGTGAACGGATAATATATTAATTTCTCTTGGCTCTATAGATGTGTGTGTGTGAGTAGTGACTTTTTTAGAGATTTGGGGCTGGTTTAGCCAGCTCATAGTAGATAGGCAGTGCACAATTTGTATCTATTTCTTAGTTCACAATTAATAATAGCCAATGCTTAGTTCAAAACAAAAATGAGTGGTTGTATAGTGTGTATGCATGTAACTATTTATGCTAATTTAGTGCAAAAAATACATTAGGCCTTTTCGGAAACACTGATCCGATTAATCCAGTCACCAGCTGATGTAATTGGTCTTTTTCCATTATGTTCATTATTTGGCCCTTGAAGAAAGATTAAAAACAAACAACTGGTGATCGGGTTAATTGGATAGTTCCCAAAAAGGCCTATTGATAGTCCATTGTGTCAGTAACAATTTCCAAGTGGTCAGTTTAAAATATTAATACCCATTTATAAAAATTTGAACATATTTAATTGGATCATAAAAAGAATATTGTGTGCTTACTATGTATATCATAAAATATGTTTAAAAAATGGTGAATTGGAGACAAATTGGCCCATTCAAGTAAAAAAAAAAATCAATTTTTTATCACACTTGATCTCGAGCTGAAACCTGCATGTATCGTGTAACAAATACAGTGTGTATCAGCCAAATGGAATAAATTCAATAATAAATAAATGGGAAACTTTCCGAAAAAAACGCTTGGACACATCAATTTTGTTTTTTTTTTGCTTAAAATTTTTTCACACCAATTCTTTTATACAGGGTGTTCCAAGAATAGTTGTACCGTTATCAACTTTATTTTTTTGAATGGCACCCCCCCCCTATTTTATGGCATTTCTTGACACATGTCATATGTCTAGAATTTTCCACAAAATCTAGAAATATCATAATATACAGGGTGTACCATTTAAAAAAATAAAGTTGATAACGCTACAGCTGTTTTTGGAACACCCTGTATAAAAAAATAGTGTGAAAAAATCTCAAGCAAAAAAACAAAATCGACGTGTCCGAGCATTTTTTCTAAAAGTTTCCCATTTATTTATTATCGAATTTATTCCATTTGGCTGCACGTATACACTTTTTGCACTAGTTACACAAACGAAATAAATATGGTGCATTATAGACTATTAGCTGGCTACACCGGCCTTTACTCAGATAGGCTTCAAATATTCTGTATATTTATTGTTAGGAAATGGATCGTTCGCGAAGAAGAAAGCTTTTTAACAAGTACAGTCAACGTTATAAAAGATCGAAGAATGAGGATACATTTGCGTCTTGTTCTACTGAAGTAGGGCCTTTGAACTCAATTTCCGCTTCTGATCAGGACCATCCATCATCTTTTTCAATAGAGTATTTCGAGGCAATAAGCTATAACAGTAGTGAACAAACTGAGGACTCCTCGGAAGACTCTGACTCAACAGAATCAGAAGTTGACAAATTTCGAATTGAGATATTAGACACAGAGCTTGATGTACAACCAATCTGTTGTGTCACATGAAATGATGCAGGTAGTTGAAGATTCTGAAAGTCTTCCCTGTTTTAGTGAACAGCTCTCTGGTTGGGCTAGCAGCAATAATATTACCCACAAAGCCTTATCAGAGCTGTTGGTCATTATGCAAAAAAATCAGATTAGTGTTCCAAAAGATGCTCGCACTCTATTAAAAACTCGTAAGAACACTGGTATGCAGATTAAAATGATTTCTCCAGGGTCTTATTTTCATTTTGGACTCACAAATTGTCTCAAAAATCTATTAGAAATATTTAGTAAACAAGTAGATGTGATACCGAACACCATACAGGTATGTTTTAACATAGATGGCTTGCCTTTGTCAAAAAGCTCTACTAGCCAGTTGTGGCCAATTATGGTAAGTCTGTTCTTAAATAAAAACGTAGTTGATGTATGTGGTATCTATCATGGAAAGGAAAAACCTAAGAGTCCAAATGAATTTTTGAGGGATTTTGTCAATGATGCCAAACATTCAGTAATTAATGGAATTATTCATGATGACAAGTATTATGATGAACAAATTTTTGCTTTTATTTGTGATGTGCCGGCAAAATCTTTCATAAAATGCACAAGAGGGCACAGTGGGTACATGTCATGTACAAAATGTTACTCAGAAGGCACTTTCAAAGAGAACAGAATTTGTTTCCCAGAGACAGAGGGGTTGCGACTTCGGACAGATACTTTATTTCGTGTCAAAGATCAGGAAAGCCACCATACTAATACCAGTATTTTAGAGGAAATTCCCGGCCTGGACATGATAAATTCATTCCCATTAGATTACATGCATTTGGTTTGTTTAGGGGTGATGAAGAAGCTGATAAATAACTTGTGGCTTGGAGGTACACCACCATACAAGCTAGCTAACCTACAAGTGCAGCAAATATCTTCAATGCATCTTTCTTTTGCAAAGTCGATATCGTTAGAATTTACAAGAAGACCAAGATCTCTTTCTGAAATAAAACGGTGGAAAGCAACTGAATTGAGATGTTTTTTATTTTATACTGGTGCAGTGGTTTTGAAAGATCATGTTGATAGTGCAATTTATGTGAACTTTTTGACCTTCCATGTGGCCTTAACCTTATTGTCAAAAAATGTTAATGTCCAATATGCTAAATATTTATTAAAATATTTTGTTGATACTTTTGCAACTCTATATGGGGAACAGCATATTTCTCACAATATTCACAATTTATTGCATATTGCTGATGATGTTAACATTTTTGGAAGCATTGAAAATTTTGCAGCATTTCCCTACGAAAATAATATGCTTTTTCTAAAAAAGTTAGTTCGTAAAGGCGATCAGCCATTGCAACAAATTGTAAACAGAATTTTTGAGCAAAAAAACACATCTCTGAGCAACGCAAAAAAAAATAAAAATGATAAGTTTCCCATATTGAAAGGTGAACATGGAGGAGGTCCCCTTATCGAAAATATTTTTGGCATCAAGCAATTTGAGAATATTTACTTGAAAAAATTTCAGTTATCATCTTCTAGTGAGTCCAATAATTGCTGCATGCTCAAAAATAAAAACATTATTACGATAAAAAATATAATAAGTTTGAATGACAAAATTCAAATCATTGGTCAAAAGTATAGAACATTAGAAGATTTCTATAAGTCACCCTGTAAATCCTCTAAGTTAGGAATTTTTTTAGCTAGCAATATGGGGGGGCCTCTAGAATCATGGGATTGGTCTGAAATATGTGAGAAATATGTCAAACTGCCATATAGAAATAAATATGTTTTAATTCCCTTGCTACATACATCTATTTAAATTGTAGGTGCAAGTAATATTCATCTAAAATGCTGATAATTTTTTTTTTCCACTCAAATGAACCAATAAGGCCAATTTCATATTCAACCTAAATTTAAAGTCCGCCCTAAAGTTCAAAATCGCTTTTTGAAGCCACTTCAATTATAAAACCGTGAAATTCTGAATAATCTTCAAATATACCTTTATCCTAAAAAGGTTTTTAAAGTTAATAGTTATTAAGGTACTTTATTATGAAATTGGCTATCGATAATATAATGTGCTATTCTCTATTATTGTTAAAAATTAACGGAATAATTCTTATAGATATCATTATTAGTTAGGTAGTTATTTGGGTATTATTCAATGCATATACAATTTGGTCAGGAAACAGTTCTCAACGGCTTAGAAGAAAAAAATGTACATCGCTGCTATCAAGTGTATTTTCTACCTATTTAAGATATTTTTTTTCGGTTTTGTTGAGGCAAATTGAGGCATTAACTTTTGCATTGTAGAACAGGCTTGATCGAATAAGACATTGTATATTCTAGATTTGTTATTTTAGTTATTTATTCATTTATTTGTGTAGTTTGTGAACACAAAAACTAATTTATTCAATTATTATATTACCTAACCCCAATATTGAAACTATTATATCGTTTATCAAGTTGTATACTTATTTATTTCTAAGCAGCACCAAGTTTGATATGGCGTCACCTAGAACTTGGACAATAGTCCATTTCATAGAGGACAATTCAGTAGAAGCAGTGCCAACAAAGTGGATTAATGGCACTAGATGTCTGTGGCCTTTGTTGCCCCCAGAAAAACTTGGTGCGGCAATAAGGAGACAAGAGTTTAATACTCATTGGCCAGATAGCCCTGTGAGAGTGCTCAGGAATGCCACTTTTGGTAGGTATCAACTCAATATATTACTCAATATATTATAAAGAATCAGGTTACCATTCAAACGCTATTTGCAAACATCCTCTGGTGGCTAGTGATCAGATCAAGTTTGATAAGCTCACTTTCAATATATCAATATGCTTTTCTCAAAACTTGAGGCTTTAGTTTTAGGACCTCTATTAGTAAAGTTTAATTGAAAATATGAATGTTACATACTAAAGAAGGTATCATTAAGTTAGATTTTGCTTGTGGAAGAGGCTCTAATACCTAATTTCAATTACTTATATTATATTTGGGCGTATAAATTATTTCTAAAAAAATTCTCATGAGCTGGTTTACTAAACATGTATCATTATTGCTGGAGAGATTCCTGATACCTAGAAATAAAAATGGAATCAGTACATTTAGGTACTTGAAATTTAATGAAAACAACGTAGAAGAAACATTAGAATTTATTTACATTTCACTCATTTCAGGTGACTATGCAACAGCTAGGTCTAAGGCAAAAAAAGCTGAGGATTTCAGCGACCTCAACTCCACAGATCCTGAAGATGAGAAAATAATGGATAAGCTGAAAATAAGAAGGAGAGTTTTGAAAAAAAGGGTATTGTCTTCAGAAGAGGAAGATTGCTCAGACGATGACAGACCACTGGTCAAGAAAAAAATGGCATTGAAAACATTACCTCCGCCACCTTTATGGGTCGAAAGTGAGAAAGAAGTTAATACTTCTTTTGATATGCCCATCCAAGACTTTGGTATTTTTTTCAAATTATAGGATACAAGGGCTTCAAAAATTAATCCACTTGTTTTACTTTTGTAGATTCGACTGAAGCTTTGATATCGCCAAAATCAAATGAAGAAAATAACTTTGGAACAAACACATCAGGAACAGAACTAACTGGCTTCAAAACCATCTGGTCACAGTGAGTTAAAAACCAATATTTTTATAATTTAATCTCATATTTCTAAACTCTGCAGGTTCAAGAGAAAGTGTACTGTCGCTAAGAAGGACCCAAGAAAACACCCCAAAAATAAGTAAGAAAAAAGAAGTAGAAAAGGAGCTCCCTGCAAAAAAGTCCGCCACTGGTAAGTTGAACATGCCTACTAATATGAAGGTATACTCTCAATTTAAAAAAAAAATGCATTTGATATAAATTTTGCATCGGCCTATTACTGTATAGATGAAAATACCAGAAGACTGATGGTCATTTTTATTTGATTCCTTAGACAATACCAATTGTGTATGTAGTTCATCTGCAGTTCTTTTCAACATTCAGAATATCTTGGTTGAAATAAAGGCAACTGTTGACAGCCTAGCTGGAGGGAATGCCTCAAGGCCTCAAGAACATAAAGTGGATATTTTGAAAAAATCCAAAATAAATTTCCCGATTGCATCTGAAGTGGATTTGGCCGCTATGGAATTGTTTCTCGAAGAGGAGGGGAACTATTCTGCCTTGGTTTGTGTGATATTGTACGCACTTTTCTTATTAGCCTTTTTGAATATATTACGCTTTTCTAGGTATCTTTTTTCTCCAAGATGGGTGGCTATAATGTGTACGAGTTTATCAAAAGGTGCATTGCACCTTTATTGAGTGATAATGTGGCCATCGATTACTCCTATTTGGGAAGAAAGGGAAAGAAACGTTTTGACAAATTGGCTTTGTCTAAAGCAATCCTTGGTAAGAGTTGTTCTATTTTCAATTTCTGATGTCAAATTTTAAACTATTTCATCAATGATACATCCTCCTCTCTTATTTTTAGAATCTGCTGAAATTGCTAACATTGCAAAAACTAAAAAGGAAACTGAAACCAACATCAGCATATGGCTTAGAAAAGCTCGTGAGCGGAAAGCACGAGCAATGGCCAAAAATAATAATAACGAAAATCAATAATGTATATAATACATTATATTATATTATTATTTGTGAGTGTCACATAAGTCTATAGTCTGTTTATCACTTGACTAAATCAAGTGCCTGATTAAAGATTTTTGACGCTGATTGGCCAAAATTTAGGGGCTTCACTAGAGCGGTCAGTGCCCAACTTCAAGGGTTAACCCATTGCCCTAGTCGAGCCCCTAAATTATTGTCCAATCAGCGTCGAAAATTTTCGGTCAAGCACTTGATTTAGTCTACATCTCAAATGAACAGACTTTAGACTACTCAATTTTCATTTTAAATGGAACAGAATGATCTCTTTCGTTTTTTTCTGGCAATATTTTGCCAATCTATTCCTATATTATATAAGGTATTATATTTTTTGTTATCCGAGTTCCGAGTTTCACAAATTATTAAAAAAAAAAAACGATTTTCCTTTTAAGTTTTAATTTGTGATATTAATAATAATTTAACTTTGATTTGTGTGAAGCTTCGGATGGAATAATTTATTTTGTTGTCAACCAGATTTTTTTATAAATATAAACATATTTTCAAATTGAAACTATTAGCATTTTTGAAAAAACCCTCAAATCCTCAGTATATTTATGGGATATTCTATAAATGTTCTGTGTAGGTCCCACGAAAATCCTACAATGTAAAAAAATAATTTATGGGATCTTGGGAGATATTCTATGAATATTTAAAAAAAATATTCCAGGTATATTCATTTTGATGACACAAGCTTCACCTGGGATATCCTAGAAATATTCCCAAGATTTGACAGGTTATTCCTGGGATATTTTGAATGTCCCAACTGTATGTTCTCTGAATATTCCTGGAATCTCTTTGTGTTATTAGGGAGGGAGATTAAGTATGTAGAACAAATAGGTATAGTCTGGCAAGTGGTAACTTGGTAGAGACGAAAGGGGGAAGAAAAGTGGGGCGTGACCTAAAAATATTCACTGACACCGCCTGATGACAGCCATGTCTTTGAGTTCAGTGGCACCGAAAACACTAAGGAAATAAACCAATAAAATTATTAGAAAAAAAACTTTAGATTCGCCGATAACCACGCCACTGCGTGCTGTCATTCAGGCTCTAACCAATAGAATCATGCCTCTGAATAATCACGCCTCTCCACATCCATTGTTTCGCAATGTTGCCGGATTTTTTTCTATTTCAAAATATTATACCTGCCCATATAGCAAAAAAAATATGTCACCAACTTGTTTATTATTGTTTCCGTCAAGTTTGGCAAAGCAGCAAATTCTTTTGGAGTTCGCCGTTTGGCTAGCCAGACAATACTTAGTTTAGGAAATACAAGAAAGATTATAATCATTTGTCAGAGTTACTAATAAAAGAAAACTGTACCTAGCCTAGTTTCAAAGTTCCAAACTAAAGTTGAACATTTAATAGTATATTACATACCGAGTAGGGAAGTGTTTCATTACTGTCGAGAGATTTATATAGTCTAGACTATTAATCTCGAGATAAAAGTCAAAGTGACATTATGTTGGCAATACAATGTAAAATTGTCAATGGGTACATTCAGGCGGTCCCAGCGGCTTAGTTCAGCCACTCAGCAGGAACTATATTCTCGAAACAGGGGAGCAGCGTTCTCATTGGAACGAAGGTTCTGTCTTTGTCGTCCGGCATAACACTGACAATGACAGAGCAATCGTTCTTATGAGAACGCTGTTCCTTGGTTTCGAGAACAAAGTCCCTGCTGGAGTGGCACAGCTTAACCGCTGGGACCGCCTGAATGTACCCAATGCTTTCAAATTTTTATGTAGAAAAGGCTTGTGTTGCCAATATAGTTACTAAATTTTTGACTTGGGGAATTATCTTTAAAAAAAAAACAGACTATACTATTTTATTTGCAAGCACGCCATTAAAAATGATTAGTCATTTAATTGTGTTAATTTAAAAAAAATAAAACAAACATGCCAAAATGTGTCATTCACTGTTTTGACGTTTCTACCTGACATGTTCTCATCGTTGCCAGCAAAGGTAAATAAATTAGGGTGAGGGAAGTCGAATACGGAAATCGGTGAGGGAAATCGAAGAAGGAAGTGACACGACACAGGTAAAGTGACACTTCCAAATTTTAAAAAAGTCTGTAATGTCAAGATTGCATAGGTATATGGTTGCAAATAATAGTATATTACATACCGAGTACTGAGTAGGGAAGTTTTTCATTACTGTCGAGAGATTGACTATTAATCTCGAGACAGAAATGAAAACTTTCCTCCGAGGTTTGTATACTATTTTATTTGCAAGCAGACATTTAATTATGATTAGTCAATCAATTTTTTTAACATTAAAAAAATAAAACAAACATGCCAAAATGTGTCATTCACTGCTTTGACGTTTTTACCTGACATGTTCTCATTGTTGCCAGCAAAGGTAAATAAATTAGAGTGAGGGAAATCGGTGAGGGAAGTCGAATAGGGAAATCGGTGAGGGAAATCGAAGAGGGAAGTGACAGAGGTAAAGTGTCACTTCCAAATTTTTAAAAAGTCAGTAATGACAAGATTACATATATGATTGCAAATAAAAGAAATTGTCATGCACCTTAACATTTTTTTGTTTGTTTTTGTTTTAATGATATATATCTGCGGCCATATTGGTGTATCACTATTGCTGACGTCATCAACTCAGTCGTTAGCTGTTTGCGCCAGCGGTCCTAGTTTAGAATTTAAATTTATGATGAAAAATATCATTTAATTTTGTATAACACAATAGGCAAATAGGCAGATGCAAACGAGATCTAAAAAGGTGTTGTTCTAGAATGTTAATCAATGTAGAAATACAAGTATGCATAAAGCAAAAGCCCGCGGGATCATAACCTTTGGTGCAAACTGCCTATGTCAAGACGAGAAACGACATGCTGCCTACGTCACAACTCACAACTGGTGATTTGGCGTGGTGGGGTGCTTCAGATTTGTTCTACACAGGTCTAATGAGGATAGGTTATCCTGTAGTAGTAGTGTGTATTATCCTTGATTGTGTTACCCATCCTCTCATGGTGCCGGATTGGTCTGTTGTTCCTTGAATAAGGGTTTTAAGTTTTATAAAACTTGTATCTCGGAAAACTTTTGGTTGTAGGTAAAAACTTAACAATCTTGTGTAAGAAGTCGAGTTTTTGTCATTTTGCTGTCTGCATTTCTGATTTTTTCCCCTTATTTTTCTCAAGGATTTTTCAAAATTTTTCGCCCCCTTTGACTTTTCGCCCCTGGGCGCTCGCCCAATTCCGCCTTATGGTTAATCCGGCCCTGTTTGTTCTGCAACAATACAATCTGGCTACCCTGCAGCCTACGAGTTGTGCGCGCATGTCATCTTTTATTGCTTTCTAACTTGTATTTATTACAATTATTATTAAGCTCTCTTTTTCTAATCATGCGAGATGGGTCTATTTGGTCCCGAGGCAAGAAATAAAGAAGATAACTTTTTGGAGGAGACTCAAATCATAGAGAAACAGACTAAAAAGAGAGTAGCGAATTAAACGAGAAAGATCGGCACCACTGTTACAGTGGTGCCGTGAGCTACAGGATGAACTAAACTTGTGGGACGCATGGCGGGAAATTTAAATTGGTACTGAAGATTTTTTGGTTTTAATGGAAATTTTTAGGGGAAAAAAAACAATACCTAATTCTTTATCAAGCTAGTTTTATTGAAAAAATTATTAGCGGCATTTTTCAAGCAATAATGAAATAAATAATAACTCTTAAAATATAAATAATATACACAAACTCTGAATTCTTCAAGTAGTAATGAAATTAATAATAAATACCTCTCCAAATACAAAAAATATGTGATAGGAAACGAAAACATTGAATTATCCTCAGTCTGAAAATAATAAAATAAAACAAGTAATAAGTACTTATAATGTAATTATTTATGCAATATAAAAAAATACAACACTGACCTGACACACATATGAGAGCTCTCGGAAGCCCTTTGTTTACATTTCTTATATTACAATTGTTGACTTGATAATTATTGGGAAAATAGATTTTTTTTTTTTTTAATATTTTTCCTAGAAGTGAACAGAGGTTATGTTTATCTACGTGTGGCCGGTTTGCGGCGGGCAAATAAGGCGCACTGATCAACTTAATTAATCTACTGTTTATTTATGCCAAATACAAAAATAAAACATCGGTAAAAATGAAAAAATAGAAATTGTTCGGGCGTGTTGTTTTATTATTCGAGCGGGCGTCGGACTTGTGTCAGTCATCAGCTGGCCGGGACTCGGAGACAGTTGACGTTCCTACCGCTGGTGTACCGCGTTGCCGCTCCATTTGCATGGTTGCCAACGGATCTGGGGCGGACATCCGCCACATACGTAAACATCAGCATGCGTCAGTTAATATGGAAATATCTACCGTTCTGTTTCCTTCTTCTTCTTCTGTAGTGCTTCAATGTTGCTAGAATGAGACAGAAACAAGAAACAAGCACGTAGGTCGAATCACGACGCGATAAATAAAGGGACAACTTTGCGACGTCTGCGTTGCGCTACAGGCATAAAGGAATGCGGTGCCGATCTCTCTCGTTTAATTCGCTACTCTCTTTTTAGTCTGTTTCTCTATGACTCAAATCACTGCCAATTTTTACTGTTCTTCACTTCTAAATGTAAGTGTAATTCTTAATTTTTTAATTTTTAATTCCATTGCCTGTTCCTCTACTTTGCAATCTGTTTATTGTTTGCCCAGCGGTTCTGAGTCTACGGAAGGAATTCGGACGTAAATGTGCGATGTTGCCACGTTTAATTATAAAAAAGCGAAAATACTAGGCATGAAGTCAGTGCCGATCCTAGCAGGTGTACAGCGCGTGCCCCGCACGCGGACGGCCAAATCTAGGGGCGGCCACAGGCCGCCTATAATTCTATCATTCAAGATTCAAGTAAAACTTTTCACAAATTTCTCAAAATAAAACTACTTCTAATAAAGAAATAAGCTGAACTTTAAAAAACTCCTGAAAAATTAAAATAAACCCCGATCTCCTGATAGCATAAATAGAAAGTTTAGTGTTTAGTCAAAATGTTTATTTTTGTTCCCAATTCACCTAATTCTGCTAGAATATTTATTAACTGTCCAACAGAACTAGATGAATACTCCCGCTAACAATATTACCAACTTTTTTGATATAGTATTTCCAAATTCAATTGGAACAAGGTACCAATTATTGGCCGACTATTGACTTGAAATTTCCATAAGAAATGCACTGCCACTAGTCAGCCACCAGTTATAATTTATGTTCACCTTGTTCCAATTAACTTTGGAAAAACTAAAGGTACCAAAGGCTTCCAAGTTCAGGTGGGTTATGTAGGTAAGTCACGACTAGAGACTGGGGTGTCTTGATTTTCCACAGGGCCCTTTTTCTCACTTTCATACCTAGGCCCAAGCCAGGCCCTACTTAGTTTAGGATAGTGTTTGTCATTTTTGATCACCTCTTTTCTATGAGTTGTTTGAATTGAAGTGGTGAATCACCACTCACCCGCATTCAAACAACTCATAGAAAACAAATATGTTGATATGTTGTTCCAAACAAGTTTTTTTTTAACTCTAAACGCCCAAAAACTTTCATTTTGAGGCTCGAAATTAACGCTTTTGGGCGTGGCACCCCAAAAAAA